GCAGATCCCACAGGAACACATCCAGGTGGGGTTGGAATGTCTCCAGGGATGGAGACTCCACAGCCTCCCTGGGCAGCCTGTCCCAGGGCTCTGTCACCCTCACAGTCAAGAAGTGTTTCCTCATGTTTCACTTGACCCTCCTGTGCTCCAGTTTGTGCCCATTGCCCCTTGTCCTGTCCCTGGGCACCCCTGAGCAGAGTCTGGCCCCATCCTCCTGCCACCCCCTGGAGATATTCCCCAGCACTGATCAGATCACCCCTCAGCCTCCTTTTCTCCAGCTGAGCAGCCCCAGCTCTCCCAGCCTTTCCTCACAGGCAGAAGCTCCAGCCCCTCAGCATCTCAGTGCCCTGTGCTGGGCTCTCTCCAGTAGCTCCTTGTCCTTCCTGAACTGGGCAGCCCAGACCTGCCCCCAGGGCTCCAGATACAGGGCAGAACAGGGTGGGGGGACTGGTGCTCTAGACCTTCCCTGACACCTCTTGGTCCTGATGGAAACTGGATTGAGGGAAAAGGGACTGACATGAGGAGGGGAGGTGGGGGGGGCCTGTCTATGCTGAAGGAGCTGCTCCTGCCTGACCTGCCCTCTGTCTCCCTGCACAGATCTACCCCAACGAGAGACACAGTATTCGGTGCCCTGAGTCAGGAGAGCACTACGAAATCACGCTGCTGCACTTTCTACAAGAATACCTCTGAGAGCACAAGCCTCTGCAAACTGGACACTGACAGCTCTCCCCACCCCTCCCCCTGCCCTGCCACCACCTCCCACCCCAGCCACCCCACCCACAGCACACATGGCTGAGTGCCCACCCCCGGGCTGGGTGTCCCCCAACCAAGCAAGGGGGACGGGGGGAGAGGCTGGAGGGCACCTTCCCTTTTGGACAGTGCCACCTTCCTTCACTTTTCCATGCTGGAAGGTCTGCCCCTGCTCAGCTGCTCATCCCCTTCCTCTCCTCTGGCCTGGCTGATAATGCTTTTTTTGCTGCTACTCCCTCTCTCCTGGGAATCAATGGACAGTGATCTGTCTCCCGAGGCTGAGGTTTGTGTCCATCTCTCTCTCTTTCTCTCTCCCTCATCCTTTTCCCCTTCCACTGCACCTCTGCAGTTCCCCTACTCTTACCTGCAAGAACTCAGTGCCTGTGTTAGAAATGGAAAGAGCTGAATCAGCAAAGCTGCCTTAAGCCAGGAGCAGGAGGGAAGAGACAACTACCTATTGTCAAGCCCCAGGGGAGCTGATCTGCTGCTGCTGCTGCTGTGTCCTGGCCCTGCTGCCACAGTGTGGAGCCCTGGGCTGTGAAGAGGGCTCCACACAAGCATGCAACACTAGTCTTTTTCCTTTCTATTTTTCAGTTCAGTTTTGCAGAGCAGATGGAGGAAGTGGCTGGGGTCAATGGCAGTGGCCTCTGCTCCCTTTCTCTCATGGCCACTCACAAGTTGTGCCAACAGGTAGCACAGCAGCTGGAGCAGCTGCCACCACCAGAGATCATCTCTCCAGAGATCACAGCAGCATTTGGGGTGTTTTTTTGGGGGATTTGTTGTTTGGTTTGGTTTTTTTTCCAACACAAGGTGGATGATATTTATGCAAATCCTCCCTCCGTTCTCTGTGCTGCCTCCTGATCCCACCTCCTCCTTCCTTCCACACCCTGAGCTTTCAGATGTGCACTGAATTTGGCTGTGCTTCAGTTCTCTGCGGGTCAGTGACTGTTCCCTTTGCCCACCTACTCAGCAAATGCTCTCTGCTGGTTTTTAGTTACCTGGTCAACAGGAACTGCAGTTCTGGGGAGGTAGGGGTGGGGGAATTGAGCAATCACACCTCAGGGGAGCACATCCCCCCCCTTCCCCCCTCAAGCCAAGGGTTCTGCCAGGGGCAAAAAGGAAAAAAAAAACCCAGAACCAACCAACCCCCCACCCAAAGGAACCACGTTGACTTGCCCTGGAGTATTTTAAGTGCGTATTATGAAAAGAAAATATTTTTATGGATTCTTATTCTTTTATAATTATGAGTGTAAGATGTAGCGACTCATTAAAATATTGGAAAGAGGACAAGGCTGGGCTGGCATCTGTGCCTGGGGTTGGGAATGCAGGAGAAGGCTGGGAAGGAAATGGCTCAGGAGAGTCAAAGCTCTGTCTGTGGGAAAAGCCAAGTGCTCTGTTTGGTTTCTGTGCCAAGCAGGGCAGAGAATATTAAATCCCTGATCTTCCTCGGGGGGGAAGCATGATTGAAGATGCAGGGTGGGGAGTTCAGAACCCTGGAGTGTGTGTCCTTGGCTCTGGGTGACCTTGAGAGAGTCAAGATACCTTGTGCTGGGCAACACCAGGCTCTGCTGGAGGTCAGGGCCTCAGCCCCACTTCCCAGGGGGATACAGCTGCTCCCATCCCACCCTAGGACACCTGGAACTTCCCTTCTGGCATGTGCTGGGCCTGCCTAAGTTGGCCCCTCTGGAACTCAAAGCTTTCCAGACCTGGCCTTGCTGTTTTCCTTTTGAGCAGAGAGCTGGGCATTAATTAAACTGCTAATAAATGCCCTGAGGATGCAGGCTGGAGGCTTCTGGTTTTAAATGCAAAGCATCCCACAGCTGGAGCAATTTGTTTGCCCAAGATGGTGTGAGCATATTTTTAATAGATTTTTCTTTTAATAGAATGGTTTGGGTTAGAAGGGACCTTAAACATCATCCAGTCCCACCCCCTGCATGGGCAGGGACACCTCCCACCAGCCCCGGTTGCTCCAAGCCCCATCCAACCTGCCCTTCAACACTGCCAGGGATGGGGCAGCCACAGCTTCCCTGGGCAACCTGGGCCAGGCTCTCACCACCCTCACACTCAAGACTTTTGTCCTCATGTCTCACCTCAATCTCCCAGTTTGCCCCCTTCTCACCCCTGTGTCCAAATAACTGGCCCCAACCATTGCAGTTGTGTTTTAGCTCCTACTACCCACCCCCTTGAGCAACTTCTGGTGCAGTTTTTGAGGTCAGAGGGGCGGAAGGGGATGTGCTGGAGGAAGTTGCACATCTCTGAAGATAACTTGAGAGAAACCTGCAGGCAGAGGAGCTGCTCCCTTTTCTCTCTGCCACCTTTAGAGCCAGGTGGGTGCCAAGTGGATGGTAAGAAGCTTTATTTTTGCAGGCTTCCTTTTCAGTCTGAATTTAAACTGCTTTTTTTTTCCTGCCCTGAAAGAGCAAGTGTTGCTTAAAATGTCTGCAGTGCACTCTTAAAAAACACTCTTGTCTAGAAGAGTTTACAAATCTGGCAGTTTCTTTCTGTTTCTGAAGCTGTAGGATTATTTGATGCCATAAAAAAAACAACCAACCAACAAGGGGTTGGTTTCCTTCTTTTGGGAATCTGAGAATCCTGAAAGGAAGGAACTGGGAAATCACCTCCCTCAATCCTGAGCTTTTCCATATGTAACAGGCTCTGCTGGGGAGGGAAACACAAATGATGTGGGAGGCCCCCACCCAGCTGTCCTGGGGGAAAGGTGATGGGAGGATGAGGCAGGGTGCAGCTGGCTTGGGGGAACAGAGGATTTGGATAAAGGATTTGCAGCTGTGGGGTGAAGTTGAGTTAATTTCCTGAAGAGCAACAGCCAGAGGAAGCAGCGGGTGCTGGGGAAACTGGGGAAACTGGGCAGAAATGACTTTTCCTCAAGAAAATGGGATGAAGCTTGAGAGCAGCTTGGGAGTCGTTTCTCCCACGACAAGCCAACGCGTGGGGCTTTATTTTTAGGTGGAGGGAGAGCAGATGTTCTCGGTGGCTTATTTTTAAAAAAACAAAACCACTGCTCAGGCTACAGAATGAGCTCAGAAAAGCCACCACTCCAGCCTGGAAGGTGCTCGAATGGAAAACTTCCCGGCATCTCCATTCCCAACGTGTGTGGAGGAAAGGTGGGACCATGGTGGCCCTTGGGAAGCCACTGTGTGGGGTGACAAGGGGTGTCTGAGGCATTTGACCCCTGTGCTTGGCAGAGCAGCACCCCCAGGATAACTGAAGTTGCTCAGAAATACCAGGGTCCACCCGGGGAGGTTTGGGGCACGTGGCCGAGATGTGAGGAAGACAAATGGCTGGGGTGGAGGGGAGGGGGCTTGGCAGGCAGAGGGGCCAGGGGAAGGGCTGCCTGTGGGTGCTGGCAAGGAAGAAAGGGTGTAAGTTGATAGTGGAAAATCCTCAGGGAGGGATTTTGGGGAAGCACGTAGGCACGGGCAGCCTGTCTTGGGGCTGGGACAGATGGGAGGCCTCGGGGGCCTGTCTTGGGGCTGGGACAGATGGGAGCCCCCGGGGAGCGGCGGCTGCTCCGCTTCCCCACCCCTGTGGAAAAACCTCTTCTCTCCTGTTCCAGCTGGAGCCCCTTGCAAGGAGGCTGGTGTAGGTTTCTGCTGGTGCCCTTTTCTTCTGTCTTTCAAGGGAAAATGGCTTCGTCCTGGCCCAGTGGCTGTGCAGCTCTTGCTCCACTGGGGCTCTTCTGCTTTGCTTCCAGTCCCAGAGCTGCTCTGGGCTGGAGCTTGGGGGGCTGAGTTGTCTCCAGCCAACAGAGAAACTGCTCCGGGGGGGTCCAGACATGGTCCTGCCTTCCCTGCTCATCCTTGAGCTTGAGGTTCCATCCTGCTGGGTGCTGAGCCCCCGGGCAGGGGGTGTTCTCCTTCTCTGGGTGCAGGGAGAGCTGCTGTGGGAAGGGGGAAGGAGAAGAAAGCAGGGGGGCTGCAGGGAGGGCTGGCCCTGTCTGTGCTCATCTCCTCCAGGCTCTGCTCTCTCTCGAAGCTCCTTGTTCCTCTCCTAAAAAGGACAGTTAAATACCACCCAAAGGGCAGCTCAGAGCTCCTGAAGCTCCTGTCAAAACAGCAAAAGCTGATCCAGCTGCAGGAACCACCGGGTCTCTCTGCCCCTGCCTTGGCTGCTCTCTTTGCTTTTCCCTGCCTCCAGTTCAGGCTGGGAGGGACTCATCCAGCTCCCAGCCCCTGGTGCTCAGCCCCGGGACATTCCCGACCCCTCTCTCACTGTCCCCCCAGCCTGGTGCCATGGCTGTGCTGGGGCTGCTGCTGGTCCTGCTGGGCTGCACCGGGGCACTGGACCCTGCCCTGCAGGAGACCTGGGAAGGCTGGAAGAGCCTCCATGCCAAGAAGTACCCAGGGGTAGGTCCTGCTCCCCCCAGGCCTCCTGGCACATCCCAGGCTCCAAGAGGTCTCTGCACCCACCCCAGCCCCTGTCCGGGGGCCATTCCTGACCCTGCCACCGCTCTGCCCCGTGGCAGGAGGTCGAGAGCATCCGCAGGCAGGTCTGGGAGAAGAACCTGCGGCGCATCCAGCAGCACAACCAGGAGGAGTCCCAGGGGCACCACAGCTTCCGCCTGGCCATGAACCACTACGGGGACCTGGTACCTGCCCCCCTCCCAAACACCTTCCCTGGGGACCCTGCCTGCACCCGGGGCCTGAAAACCCCCTGGGGTTTCAGTGTGGGGACCCCTTGATGCACTCAGGGCTTGGTCTGGGGACCTCTTGATGCACTTGATCCAGGGGCTGGGTAATCCCAACATGTCAGGGTCACCTGGGGACCACCAGGAGCTGCAGGTGCTCCTGGGGGTGGGAAGCCGGAGCGTTGCCAGCCGGTGGCATCCCCCCAACCTCCCCTCGGTGACCTGCAGACGGCCGAGGAGTTCAATTTTTTTCCCCCGCGCCGAAGCAGCAGGAGCCAGGGCTGCTCTTCCAGGCCTCGGGGGCCCTGCAGACCCCAGCACAGCTGGACTGGCGGGTGAGGGGCTACGTGACACCCGTCAAGAACCAGGTGGGCATGGGGAAAGGGTCTGCTGGGTGGCACTGGCCTCCCAGGCACCAAAAAAAGAACAACCTCTGGGCAACCCAGAGAAGCAGCAGTTCCCCCTCCTCCCCCAGTTTTGGGACCCCCGGGGGTCCCAGCATCCCCGAGCGGTGGGTTTCGGGGCTGTGACCCCCCTCCCCGGCGCTGCCCCCAGGGGCACTGCGGGTCGTGCTGGGCCTTCAGCGCCACGGGGGCTTTGGAAGGGCTGGTCTTCAACCGGACGGGGCGGCTGGTGGTGCTGAGCGAACAGAACCTCATCGACTGTTCCCGAAAACTGGGCAACAGCGGCTGCCGGGGCGGGTACATGACCCGC